TGGCCCTCTTGGCCACCCGAGCACACTGCTGGCTCATGTTCAGCAGCTGTCGACCAGCACCCCCAGGCCCTTTCCCGCCGGGCAGCTCCCAGCCGCTCCTCCCCACGCCTGCAGCGGTGCCTGGGGTTGTTGTGACCGAAGTGCAGGACTGCACTTATAATGTGCAATATACTGGACTCTAAAATGAAATACCTGGTTAGGTGCATAAAAGAGCGTTAAATTTCTGCCTGTTATTATTGGCCTCATTGTTCTGCCGGTCCCCATCTCGCGTGGTTCCTATGGAATGCATGCTAGGAACAGAAGGGATAATGGGATCAAACCCCACCTGTTCTGCACAGAAATCTGCAGTAATTTGACTCGCCTGGCTTCTGAGGAGAGAAAACGATGGCCAAGTGACAAAGCTACATGGGTGCTGACAACAGCAGGCATTCGCTCGCTTCCCCAAGCGAGCATTTCATGCTCACTGTTTGCATTGGCCACAAAGATAAAGTCAAGCACAAAGGTGTATGAAGTCCTTAACGGAGCAGCACTGTATTCTTTAATATCTGAGAAAAATAACCCTCACTCCACCCTTCTGCACCTACATATCATGAAAAACTGCTGTTCAAGTTATGTGATCAAGCAACGTGACGCTGCTTGGCAAATATTTATTTTAGTATTAGTTAGCGACACAGAAGAATAGAAATAAGCACAGAGTTGAGTAACACGAACAGTTTTTTAAATGACTCGAGGCTGCGTTAACATTAGCAGGTATAACTTCTTGCCTGCCTCAAAAATCGAAAGGCAAGAATTTTTCGCATTTTTGTAATATTGCAGAACACTGATCATATTGGCCCAGATTTTAAAAAGCGAGGTGGAGAAGGAGTTTCAGAAAATGGCGTTCGACAAACAGAGGTGCTGAAGAACCCCTGTTCAGTTCTGAAAATCTCATCGTTCTCTCATGTAAGAAACCATAAGGCATAGGATTATTTGCACCATTTTTTAGTCCGACAGCCTAAAAGACGACACTGCTTGCATCTTAATACACTATGACATATTTCACACATCTTAGAGCAACAATTATGAGGCCAACATTGAGATAATGAGTAAAACCGGTAATTTCTAAAGATCTCCTTAACTTTAACAACTTCAGAAAACATGTGTAAAAGTTATGACAGATTAAAAGGCAGCTTTTAGGGGTTGCAATGTATTTCTGTATATACTTTTAAAGTATCAACTGATTAACACTTGCATGCTATCACAGAATTCATACTTGCATACACATTAATGGTATTAATCGCTTCATACATGACATCGTTTTACCAAGCTATAAATTCAAGAACAGAAATTCTCCCTGTTCAGAAGTACTCAGGGCACCCACTTGCCCACCTAAAAATTTTTTTAAGAGCCCTGGCTGCTGTTACCCCTCCAGAAAATCTCTGCTGCATGTTTTACTCTGCGTATCTGCCGAAATTAAGCCCTGCAAAACACCACAAAAGAAAGACGCCGTCACTGAGGCTCAGAGGGTAAAGTTCAGCTTCTGGCTAAGCCAAACGGGTTACCTGAGGTTACTGGAGGAAGGAGAAGAGGACAAAGAGGAAATAAAGGAGGACACATCTACTCCTTTTAAGTACTATTAATCCTTCAACCTTAAATTTAGGAGAGCGGCTAAGTTTAGTAACCCGAGAGGATCTATCGCTATGCAAAGTTCTCCTCTTTTATTTGATACAGCGTTCCTTGGGAACATTGCAAGAATAACTACATCGGACAGTAACATTACAAAGCAGACACCTGCCCCTCCAGCCCCCAAAGGGGGGAAAGAAAGTCAAAAAAAGCTAGTTGAGAAGTGGCATTGCCTTTTTGGTGGGTAGTTATTTAATGGGAGGAAACGCTCCCTCTCCTAAATTGCCCTTGAAATCTGCTTTGCATGAAGTAAAAAAATACATACACGGATAGGCTTAATTCTTTCAATTTTAGGCACCGCTAACCCTCAGCTGCTCGGGTAGGAGAGGCTAAAAGCAAGGTTAACTACACAGCAGAGCATTTTTGTCTCTAAATATTTAATTCCTTCTTTATCTTCTTTCTCCGTAAAAGATATAATACAATCTTCAAGGCGATGCGACAGGGTGGGAGTATGCGGTGACTATCCTTCCCTCTAATCGGAGATCTTCAGCAGGCTAATCTCTTGCCATCCTGGTATTTTTCTTGGCAGTGGGTTAGCTCCAAGCGCTTCTGGAACGGCACTAACGTATTACAGTTTTAGCAGTCTTTGATGCAAACTGCATCCAGTGCCCAGAATTACCCACTAACCACTCAAAGAAAGTTGGCTCATATGATTTAAATCCTGAGCATCGCTGGGCAAGCCTCCATCCACAGCTCACGGTGTTCCTTCAGCTCCTGGCAGGGGACCAGCATTTAGCGGTTTTTCCATAGGGAGGAAGTGCTCAGTTTCTAAAATTTGCAGATACGGCATATTAGCTTCCCCCTCTTAGATAACAGGTGTAGACCTTTACAGCCAGGGACACTCACTGCATATTTTTTTTTTTTTTTGCCAGTAGCTATTGCCAAGGCATTCTTCTTTCGAGCATGAAGTTTACATTACAATAACGAAACGAGGGACACCAGGAAACGTTACGGAACAACTCTGCAAAACTCGGCTCGTCTGGCAAGGCTTGTTCAACAACCAGACAAAATCTGATCTTTATCTTGAATGAAACCTCATTATTGTAATAGTATTGTTAGCATTTGCTCCTTCCTCAGAGCGTACAGAACACACAAGCATCGCCCAACTTCTGATGAGTATCAGCAACGCAACAGCTCCAACTGCCTGCCAAGGTTTTTGGTTTGCATATCTCCTGGGCATCCCCCACAAGACAGAGATAGGAAGACCAGGGAGTAAAAGGAGCCAGATGGGATGAGACCAAAGGGTTCAGAGGACCAAGAATCGAGCTCCAACACGGTGTAAACAGTATCATACTGCTCACTTTCTAGGGGGTGCATCACGTTTAGCAACCCCCAGCCTACGACGGGTGTTACATTCCCACCATATACAGGATAGCAGGGAGGAGAGCAACTAAACCACCTGACAAATTCCTAAGAACTTGCCTGGGATCAGCTGAGGGAGGGAAAAATAAATAAATAAAAAAAAGCACCTTTTTGCCTCTACATGGAGAAAGGGGGATGGTTACAAACCCGGAATAACACAGAAGCTGTGGCAATAATTGCACATTGGCAATGCCTGCTGTCACAGGCACCCACATTAAGGCAACTGTTTTCTCCACAACTGACCCAGTATTATGGTAGTTTAACAAAAATACACAAACAACATTCAGTGCAACTGTTTTCAGGCAGAACAGTTCTCGTCAGCACTTCAGCTTTACATTTCAGCATTACAGCTCCCCAGCAGCGCGGGCGCTTCAGCTGCCATCTACCTGCCCAACTCGGCAGCCCTGCGTACAGTAGCGCATCCAACAAGGGCGAACTTGGCCGAGAGCATATTGCATTTCTAAATGCAGCCC